ATTTGTTATGATTTTACTAATTAAAATCTTGTGTAACAATAGCTCGGAGGGTCATTTTGTTAGCAAAGGCCCCATATGAAATGTCGGATAACAATATTTTATTATAAGTTATAGTTATTGTCCACAAAGTGGGCAATAACCAAGAATTAAATCCGGATCAGATGATCGGATAATGACGGAATGGCCACTGGTTGCGTAGCAGCTGGATCATAAAGGGCTTTCATTATGATTGGCTAATTTTTGTAGATCATTTTGTGACGTAACAAAATCTGATTACTATTCTATATTTAATATGGCTTAAAACTTGATCGAATAATCTATACTCAGAAAAATATTAAAAAAAAACCAACTATTAGCAATACTGTTTGAACCGTTATTTGTAAATTAATAAGTTAAAAAAAAAAAAATAGTAACACTTATTAGCCAAAGTGTAATTTACCTTGCCGATTACTGAATTGCTTTAGCCTATATGGCAAAAGTACACCCCGTAGCTAACTTCCGAATTACTTCTCTGTTCTCCGAATTATTTTTACCGTATATAATGTGAGAAGTGTAGTTTCTGAATATGTATTCGGTTTCGTTCTACAATTCGTTTTCATGGCATACAATTCGAACTACCCCAGGATCGCCAGAAAAATTTCTATGTAATTTTTACTGTCACGTGATGATCGACGAAAACAAGCCAATAATAAACCACAATTTAGTGTAACGTCACGCGATCAGAAATTTCAAAACAAACGTTCGCTTAGTCAAAAATCGCCTATAACTCAAAAATTCACATATGTAACCACCTTCTGCACATTAACAAAAACTTTTCCATGAACGATTTTACTATTAGAATTCCTAAATTATAACCCTAACATAGACCCTAACCTTACCATAAGCGAACTTAAAGAATTTTGTCGAATATCACGTGACAGTAAAACTTTTTCTGGCGATGCTGGGGAAGATTACAATTCGTTTAAAGTCAGATGATATATGCAGTGTATATGTAACGATACATTTAATGATTGACCAATCAGAATTAAAGCCCTCTATGCTAGCAGCCGGTGGTCATTTCGTCATTATTCGATCATCTGATCCGGGTTTAATTTTTACTATTGTTGATAATTGATTTATTCTTCCGGTTCTTATTATACTTCCGTACTATTTTTTAAAATCAAAGTTATGCATTTCATAAAGTTTATCCTTACTATAATCACAAAACTTCATTTATTTTCTTCTACTTCCTTTTTTCTTTGGCAAACAATTTTTACTTTTCGTTGGCAATTCCAATAATTTAAAAAATTCGTTATATCAATAAAAAAGTAAAAAAAGATAAATAATCAAAAAGAATATAAATTCTGGATCAGCCCGAATCTGGAATCCGGACAATAACCATGAAAAAATAGTACGGAAGTATAAATAAGAATTGGGGAATAGGTATCTAATCAAACAAATCCTATCATGCTCCATCCCCAAATTTGGGTTTGTCTGCTATAATTTGATTAATCAGATATCACGCGATCCCACTCCACTTAATAGACAACCCCAAACAGATCGCACATGAATCTGTACGGATAATCAACGACCCACATGATTGAATAGATTCACTGGATTCACTAAATTCATTGGATTGAACGAAATATCAAATATTCAATTCTTATTAAATGAAAGATCCAAAAAAAAAGAACACAATACACAAAATGATTGGTTTTTAATAAACGATTGAGGTAAAGATATTTATGTTAAACTATGTTGTAAAAATATTTCTAACATTTTATATTAAGATTATTTAAATTTGACAATCTTTTTAAATGCTGGTGTTCCGAGTGTCGGTCGACGCCATGTTTTAAAATTATCATTCATGATGTCGTCTTCATTCTTATTTATTTCCAAAAGAAATTCCTTAACTGTTTGTTCATATGCCAACTAGAAAAACCATTTGAATTAATTTATACAGAATAACAAGTAATGCAGTATTAAAAAATTTTTAGTTATACCTCGAATGAACGTAATGTATCTAATCCATTTAAAAACATAAAGCACGTTTCGAAAGATCTTGGCAGTTCTACGCTGCCAATATCTGCCATAATATATACTCCAGGAGAAATTAAGGTCATTAAAAAACCGATCCACCTTGTCGCTATTTATTATATAGAGGTTATTAATTAAAAATAAATAAATTTCTTAGAAGGCAAACTTACCAATGACTTGCCAAGCAAAAACGCGATTAACATCAGTTTTTTGCAAAATAAGATCCAACGAATCCTTCATAAATAATCCTAACCTAATCAGATCGATTAGGTTTTTCTTTTCGGTGTTGTTCTTACCCTCGCCAGTTACTTCTCCAAACATGGCCTCATAAGCAAACTTTCCTATTTATATTAGGAAAAGAATTAGAAAATTGGTTCTTATTTGCGTTTATTTTTTATTTTATTTTATTTGTTATTTTTTTTATAAATACCATTAACGGGAACCTTCCCAATCATATCGGGCTGTTTGGCCCGAGAAGGATCACCAGCAGCGAGCTTTCTGATCTTTGCGCTAGTGCTAGATGTGTTCGGCCATATTGTTGGATGTATGTAAGAATTATGAAAAAAAATTCGTAACACTGGACTTATTAAATTTGCGATCAAAGTTCCTTCGCTAATTGTTTCTCTTAATGAATTTATTGGGATAGTGTAAGATCTACAAAGCAATTATCAGAAAAATCTTATTAATACAGTCAATTAAAGTGAGTGGCACAGAAGTCACAGGTATGCTCAAAACTTCAATAGTCAATAGGTATGTCGTTTATTATAGTTCCAAAATATTCTGAGTAGAAAATCACAGTTCAAAAGAAAA